AATATAAACAAAAAACTAAATATGTGACCCTTAAAAGCCTAAGACCCAAACTGAGGGACAATAATGAAAAAGAAAAAAGTCAAGAACTATGGTTTTGATGCCACAATCGCTGCGGACAGTGATGGGAAGCAAGACCCAAGGCAGGAGGGAACTCACGGGAACAAGGAGCTCACATACAGAATACAGAGCCCACGTCTGACCTCTGGTGCCACCTGTGTGGGTCCTAAGGTTCTTGCAACTGTGAGAGCCGCTTGTTGAGATCAAACCTCATGTATTGGTTACAGGTGAAAGCACTGATTGAGACAAAATCTTCGGTAAAAAATGAAAGATGTGCTAAAAATTAAATAGCTTTTCATTTTCTGTGTCATAGAGGACCTTGCGTAAAACTGAAGATCTTATTTAAAAACTAGTAACCGAGGTATGACCTCAATGTATGAAGTCATGGAATCAATGTTGATTTCTTAGTTTGGGGGGTAATGTTGTAATTGGGTAAGAATATACTCTTATTTTGAGCAGATGGATACAGAAGTTGTAGGGGTGAAGTGTCATGTTGTGTGCCGTCTACTTTTGAATGATTTGGCAAAAAAAAAAAAAAAAAAAAAACGCGTGTGTGTCTGTGTGGAGAGAGAGAGAGAGATGGAGTGGGTGGAACAACACGTCAAGAGTTGGTGAAGCCAGATTAGAGGGGACACAGGTGTGTGTTGCACTGTTTTTCAGAGTCCAGAGTGCTAACCATTACACTTTGGAACCCTGTACTGCACTGTTTTTCAATTCTTCTGAGGGTTTAAAAATTTTCCAAAAGAATTTCTTTTAATCTAAGTAACTAACAAATATTTGTTAATTAATAAATAATTAACTTGTGTTCATTTGAACATGTGTTCAAATAGCCAAAGCCTCTAACTCCATTTTTTGCCATTTCTATCGTGGTTGTTCATAATTCAAACATGTAGAAAATATCTTCATCATGGCAGCCCAACAATAGCCGTAGAATTCATATGCCTTAAAATTCCTGGTCCAAACTGGCTGAAATAAATTACCAGCTGTCTGTCCACTCAGTGACTCATCCAATCAATCCATAAGCATTTGTTTAGGATATATGATATGCCAAGGACACCGATGGTAACAGGACTGTACAATTCCTTCTCTCCCGGGACCTGCAGTCATCGTGGAAGATATGCATTAGATATCTAACTGTGAATATTCCATGGGAGTGTATAGGAAAGAGGCCTGACCTAGTCTGGAGATCAGTGAACACTTATTTGCCCAAGCTAAGATGGAAAGATTTCCGGTAGTGTGTGTTGAATGTGACTCTTACTCCAAGAAGTAAAATTGAGCCTGTCTCACGGCCCCCACACACCTTGGTTAGAGAATTGCCAATCTGCCCCTCCTCACTAGGGCCCGGAGATGCTCAGAATCCAGGTGTTGTGTGGCATCTGGGAGGCAGAAGAATCAGAGATGCTCGTTGTCCATTTGAAAACAGCGACCAGCTACCTCCATGTTGACTTGGGCCCAAAGTCCTCGTCCATTATCTGCTGCCCTCAAGGGACAGGACTCAGGCTTTCCTTCTGAAACTGCTGCCTCCTCCAGATGTTGCCTCCTCCGGATGTTGTGTGGGAGCAGCACGCTGGTCCCTGCACCCCCTGAACCAGCTGTCCGGGGGTACTTACACTCACAGAAACAAAAGCCTCGAGGAGTCTTGTCTTCAGGAAACTTTGGTTTGAGCCCAGCAACGAAAGCATCCCCAAGGTGAAGGAGCACACAAGTCTGACTACTTTCTTGGAATGACAGAAAAAAAGACAACACACACACACACAAACACACACAAAATTGTGCAAATTACTTTCTCAGATGATGTGGTGTTCAGAAATCTTTAGAGAACTAGCTGTATCCTGTGGAGACCAGGATTTGAGGTGTTAAACTTTAGAGCAGTGGTTCTCAACTTTGGGCAGGCATCAGAACCCCCCAGGGAGCTTGTTAAAGCTGATGGAAGAGACCCACCCCCAGAGTTTCTGACTCAGCAGGTGGGGGGGGGGGCATAGTTTGTATTTCTGGCAAGTTTCCAGGGATGTTGATGCTGGTCTGGAAGTGCACACTTTGAGAGCCACTGTTCTGGTAGAGTATACTTAAATCGCTAATTGTGTGTGAAATGAACGTTAAAGTTTAAAAATCCAGAAAGAGAAGACTAAAATAATCAAATCAAGGTATGACCTAAAGACCCCAAACATCTGGGAGGAAAATGGGAAAGATTTAGTCTTCTAAAAATATCAAATATCCAACCTTTTGGCAGACTATAGACTTTCCTTCTCAAGCAGTTCC